GCATTCGTTTAATCAGAGTGGTAGGTTGTAGGAGCAACATGCTGACGGTCTACACAGTACTAGTGTTTCTGTAGCAGGTATTTGGCAACAGATATTCTAAAGTCAAGCAAGGGCATACGTCTTGTTCTTTTCTTATTGAAGAGTATGAATTCATTTAGAAAAGCCACTTCCAGGAAATGAAAGAACAGTCTTCTCCACCATTTCTTGACCTACATGTATGTAAAATGTCAAATTATAACAGAAATTGTTATGACTAGCCTGTGTGAACAGGTGTAGTACTTTATCAATTGATTATTGCGATCTACACCACCCAAATATTGGTGGTACCCTTCAACCATTGTTGGTCTCTTTACAATCTCAGTTCCTCTATCAACCTTTCTGGTTCTCCTTCTCTTTTCTATTACCTCATTATTATGAAAACTTGAAAACATGGTTACAGTTTTTTTATCTTGCCATTTTAGGCATGAAAGCTATGCATACTCTGTTTCTGTTGATTTTATTTCACCTAGAATATAAGTCAATTGTTAATTTTTTTATGTTCTAGGATATGCCTTTGGCAACTGGACATTTCTGAAATTCTTTTGGAATCCCTACTCTGTTTATGTGAACAGTACCACAAGCTTCAAATTCATGGTCATGAAGCTGAGAAAACAATGGAGGTGAAGTATAAAAATTGTCTGTGTAGACATGATAACCATTCCCTTCAAGTTCCAATAAAGTAAGTGCCAACATTGTCAGCCAATCCTTTTTCTGGATCACTATCTTTGTCCTTTCCTAATTAAAACAGGAAAAGGTAACAATTATCGTGTTAAAATTTTACATGTACCAGTATACACCATCACATTCCAGATATGTCCACTTGAGCTTCAGCGAGTGCCCATGTCTTTATGCCCCAATTTGTGGTTTTTTTGGGCATATACTGTACCCAAAACAGCCTCCCTTTGCAGCCCACAATTGACTGATCTATTAGTAATTTTTTATCGGCTGTTTAGTGGTATTGAAATGCTTTCACTAGTTTGTCTAAATGAGGCCTAAATTTGTATAACTAGTCAAAATATTTCTACGTGGCATTTTAAGTTCATCATTAAAGTGCAAGTTGAACAAGAGCAGCTCAAACCTACATCCTGACATAATTATTGACAGGTTGTCATTGTAGAAGGGCCACTTTTTACACCAGTAGTCTCTGTAAAAATGTAAATTACTTTTATTTTTATTATTTTCCTCAATTTAGGAAATTTCGTGACTCCAATAACGAATGCATTGGCCAAGAAAATATGTACTTCCTCCAGCTTCATTGGTTTCCTCTGCCATTCATTTCCTCTTGTATCTGGAATTAGGCAAGATCATAATGGTAATGGTGAGTGATATGATTATAATGGTAAGTGATACATATGTAACATTATTATCATGATGATTATAATGGTAAGCGAAACATATGTAACATACATGTACGTTTATTTGAGTTAATGGAATACTTGGTAATTGTAATGGTAATTGTCACAGGCCTATGTTTATGTCACTGACTCACTGATTGAGTATGAAGTACAGGTACATGAATGTGGCTAGTCTCAAACTTGCTATCAATGAGTACTGACATCAATACTTGTTTATAAGTTTGAAATACCAATACAATTCACTCCCTCTTTTTGTCCCTTCTGTTTCTCTATCTCTTTAGTGTATCCATATCTTGATATTCCACAAGCTTAGGAGTTAATTACGGTGTTCATGTATACATGTATATGTAGTGCCTGTACTGTAGTTAAAAGTACGTGTACCCTTTGTAAAAAAGTCAGCTCAGCATTTAGTGGCCATGTTTAAATACATTAATGTAATTTTGATTTGAGAAGTTAGTCTACGTTTATGATACATTTGGTTTTAGTTTCTGAGCTTTCAGAGACCTTTTGTCAATGGATAATCCAAGATATATATAGTATGTAGTTTTGTAGGCTGTTCATTGTAAATTCACTACATTGCATAATTTTAACAAATGATAACACATTTTTAATGCTTGGTTATTGAAGACATGACAACATACATGCATTTAATGTTAATTGTGCATCAATTTTGCACTTTCAATTGACAGATTTCTCTTAACTTTTTCCAATGCAATTTCTCTACCAACATTTGTAATTGGTACATGTACACTTCGGTTACACCCTAATAAAATCCATCTATGCATGAATTTTGTTATTCCAATAGTATCATCCAGATTTTCACCAATAAATGGCTGCTGTCTTTACTGCTTTAGGCTTCTGTTTTTTACTTTTATAGCTGGAAAAGATACTGTCTAAACCTTCATACTATTGTTATAATTTAATCTTGCCTTTTTGTTTTGTTCTTTGTTTGTACTTTTTCGTCTCCCTGTTGTATCTCTAGTGTTTTGTGTCTTGGACCACTATTATTATGAATTTTATTTTATAAAAATAATAATTTAATAATAGTAATAAGAATAATAATAATAATAAGTCCCACTTTAATATTAACAGTGCATGAATTGAGTTTATTTTTGCACTGTTAATTTACAGATTTATCTCAAATGTCTGCCAATACGAATTCCACACAAACATTCTAAACGGTACATGTACACTTTGGTTACCAGCCTGATAAGACAAATTTTATTATTTCGATAGTAACATCCGAATAGTCATGTACAAATCACTGTTTTCGTTATTGCTTTTGATTTGTGTTTTGTCATATTTAAGCAGCAAATATGAAGGACTTTCAAGTAAAGGCTTAGTTATGATAGGTAAAAATTTTTTTATTGTAGAATTTTTTAAAAACCTTTGTTTTTAAAAAGCATTATTAGTATAAATTCTTGTATTTCTTCTCGTCTTTACTGCATCAAGAGTAGCCTTTCTGAGTTAGATACTGAAGTAAAACATTATTTTACAAATTTTAGTGGATATTTTTACAATTATATTTACCAGGGGGTTAATGTTTGTTCCCAAAATAATATTGCATGGTGCATGTAGTATAGTATGATTTATTAAAGAACTATATGTGACCATAATTGACAAAATGTACCTTATGGCGGATTTTAAAATTCATCATTAAAATGAAAATTATCATCCTGTGAGTCCTCTCATGGACAAGCATTCTTTTTAAAAGTTACATAGGAACTTATTGCACCCTTTGGAGTAATTTTATAATAAATGAAGCTCAGGAAGTTAGATTTTTTGACTATTAAGTCAAATTTCACTACCCGCCATAAGGTACCTTTTATCAATTATGGTCACATATGTAAATTGTGGATGCTGTACTGTCTATAGTTCACTGGCTTTTAATTTAAGTAATACCCTTGCATGTACAGTGTTTGTATACCATGTAGGGTGTGGTAACCCCACCATTCCCATGTAAACCATATTATACCGTTTGTATAATTGACAAAATTTGTGATTTTCAGTTACATGCAATATTAAATTTTCTGGTGCATAAACACAAAATGTAGATCAACTTATGTAGAAATGATCAGCAAATTCCACTACATTTTTAAAGAACTTTCAAAGCTGAATACCCATTACTATGGCAGGAAACTAAGGCTTTAACATCTTTTTGTTGGCCTTTCTGAATTTTTTGTAATTTTACTTCTTAAATAATTTTTCAAATTTTGTTAATTTGTCTATTTTGATTATATCTTTGTAAATTTCTTTCTCAATTTTGTGCTTTCTTAATGAATTGTCTTTGCTAATTTTAGTCCTTTCCTTTTATCTAAATTTCATGTGCACAATTACTATGATTTTATTTTGGGTGTTTTCAGCTTTCGTAACATTTTCATATATTCATTCCATGTTTGTGAAATTCTTTCGTATATTTTAATTTTATGTATTACGCAACCACTTTTCTCAAAACTTTACAAATTTTTTAGGCATGTATTTAGTATTTTCTTGATTTTTCATTTTTGTCAAAACTTTTGTAGATTTTTTTTATATTTTTTAAATTTTCTTAATGTTTTACATGCAATGTATGTATAACTCTTTTCTAACTTCGTTCATTTTTTTAATTCTTTACAATTTTTTTTAAAGACACTTAATTTTTTTTGTATAATTTTGTGAGAAATTTTTGAAATTTTTTAATTTTTGTTTGTATTTTATTTATTTAACATATAAACTTGAAAATTTTTATGTGCATTATCGTAAAGTTTGCTAGTTTAGAAATTTTTTGTGATTTTGTATGAATTGACTGGTATCAACTTTAATGTATTTTTGTTGGCCTTTCTCAATTTTTGTAACTTTGCTGTTTTCATAATTTTTTGTGTTTCATTTTTTGTTCCTTGTGGCAATTGTAGTTTCACTTTTATCTACAGTACACAGTATTAGTAATTAAATAATAATAATAGTGCTATTAGTATTATTAATAATAATTACTGATAATCTACTTGAGCCTATACTATATCCCAACTGAGTTTGACCCAAGAAAAACTGGAATAACTTTTTATAGGAATGTGGGATAAGGATGAAACTTTCACAATTTCTTAGTCGCCCAATGCCATCACAGGATCTCAGGTTTTGGATCTCTCAGCCCTTGGGAACCCTGAGAACTGAGTTCTCCCTATAAACCCAATGACATACCAAAGCTAACCGCAAACTACGTTTTATTACGTACACGCTTACGTCATTGTTTACGTAGAGGACATTAATTATTATTTCGAGCACTGCTGTATCATGTATTATTATCTAGAAGTTTATCAAGTGAGATCTTTTGACAGTGGGGGCCTTCACAAAGGCCGGTCGAATAAAGATTTTTCTGTTGTTCCTTAGATGATTCGATGATCACTGCAGGTATTAACTCACAAGCCCTCTACACTTGCAAGTGGGCTGTTTCCCCACAGCTCTTCATCCTCCTCATCTGAAATATCGGTTTCACTTTCACTGTCATTTAATTCATCCTCAGAGTCATCTGATTCTGATTCAGTTGATGAGTCACCAACATGAATTGAAAAGTCAGGTACGGTAACTACATATGATAGTCTGTCTGCTTCATAGTATCGATCCTCCACCTTCTCACGTACATGCTGAACAAGACTGTGCCATCTTTCTGGATGTGATACCATCTTTAACGAGAGGTTCCAATGCTTCAAGTGTGAATTGTGTATTATGTGTTTTAGCATATCCTTTAACTTGGGACCGTGCCATTTCAATAGGATTAAGTTCACAGTGTCCTACTGGAAGTCTCACCACTTCATAACCAGCACTCTTTGCCATCTCATCTATAGCATACTGCAAATATTTACTCTTATGTTGCTTTATAATGATGTAAAGGGCCTTCTTGGTAGATCCAGCTGGAAATGGTATGCTCTTGTTTACTAACCACGAGATCATATCACCTTTACGCCATGATGAAGTAGGTAGTGGTTCAAATCTCCTTGAATGATATGATGCATTGTCCATCGCTATTATAGAGTTTACAGGAATATTAGGGAGTAGTTGATCTTTGAACCATCGCTCGAATTCCTGGTGATCCATATCTTTGTGGTAGTCATCTGAAGTGCCCCCAGACTGAAATACCAGTTCTGCATTTGGTACCCAGCCATTTTCTGATCCTGCATGAAGGATGATCAGTCTCTTGCCCTTTCCGTATGGCTTTGTGACTCCACCACTTGTACCACCAGTTAGTGTGTCTGGTTGTACCTGTAACAATTAACAAATATTATTGTTATTGTATTTACACCTAGAATAACATACCCATTGTTTATCCTTCGCATCATGAGCATTCATTCATGTTTCATCAAGGTAGATGACTGGTTTGTTCTCTCCACTACGGTTGTTGTGCATTTTAATTAAATATTCCTCAAGTTGTTTGATGATGTGAGGCTGCTCGTAGTAGATCCTCTTGTTGACGACTTTCCTAAACCTATAGTTCATATTTTTCAATAAGCGATGGAGAGATGATCTTGATCCTTTAAAAGTGCCATCAGCCTTAAGCTCAGGAAGGAGATTGTCGAGTGTAATGTATTGCTTCTTTGACTGCATAAGGCATATTTTTCTTCTAATAGCAGTTCGATCAAAACTATCCACACTCAATACACTCTGACGGACTTCGCTATATCTTGGAAGGTCTGGTGTGTAAAATTCAGCACCTTCCGGCAATTTTCTCCCTTCAGTCAAGATCTTCACTGAATTTCTAGAGAAGCCAGTGATTTTGATAGTTTCTTGAAGTGCTGTTCCTCCACCTTTTTTGGATTTCCCTTCTTCTCTCTTTAAGTGACTAAAGTATTTATAATAATGAATCATAAACTTCCTATCATACTTATAGAGTTTCATAATGAGACTTTTCTCCCCAGAGCGAATCCTCTTCCCCCTCGGCATGATCCAGAGTAGTAGAGACCTAGAAAAGTTAACCTAGGAAAAAAAAACTCGAAAAAAGAGTAACTGACAGCTGCAAATATATAAAACTAACAATAACAAAAATTATACTTTAAGAACTAACTTGACCTTTATATAGAAGCTAGAAGAACTTTCATGGAACCCACAGAAGACAAGAAGAAGCAACTAGAAGGACTCAAACAATAGATAAACCAAACTATATAGAAGAGCAAAGCAACTATACCATTTTGGGAGTGAAGCACGTAGCACCACACACCTGCACATGTTGACTACGCCCTTCAATCATTGACTATGAATATAATTATCTTGCGTGGCTTTTACTCGTCATATAATGCAATGTGACGTAACAGTTTATGTAACAACATTTTTCAAATTCCACACAGCTGCTTCCACTTCCTGTCAAACTCAGTTGGGATATAGTATACCTAATTTATATTCAATCGATAATAATAATAACAATAGTATTGTACATGTAGAATGCTATGTTTCTTAATCACTACTACACTAGAGGCACTAAATCAATCATTATGTACATACGAAGGCTTTCAAAGCCTTTTCTCTTGGCTGTACTATAAAATAGCTATCACAAAGTAGACTAAAATACATGTTTATCTATTTACTTTAATTATCAGCCATATGTAGCTGGCTATACATGTAGAATATTAAATTGTATTTTGTGACAATTTTAGCATTAGTTTTTTGGAAGAATAGTTTTATTTTGTGTTGGAAAAGTTGTTATCCACTGAAACTGTGACAGTAAACAGTTTACTTAAACCATGCAAATATTCTTAGTTTACCGTACATTTATTAGTGTAGCAAGCTACATTTATATAGGTCAAAATTTTTAGGTTTAGCTAATCAAAAGTAAAATACTTATATTTCTAAAAACAAGCACTGAATGGAAAATGCATAAAGAAATTTCTTATTATTTCACTCATATCCATAATTCCTTAGTGATGCTATAATTCTGTTTAATTTGACTTTCCACAGTTTTATAGTTGCTATCACTTCCTTTCATAATTTTTTGGCTGAGCAAGCCAAGGCCTGTTACTAACCAACATGCAACACTTTATGTTGACAGCTCTAAGCTTGCCTAAGCTGTCAAGTTCTTGCATAATGTCTTATGATGCATGTACTTAACTCTACATGGCAATGATGGCATTTTGAAGATGCTTTTGCCTTTTCAGACCAATTTTACAAAGCCACTATTAATTTACCTTTGACTATAAGTACTATAATTTGCCAGATAATTATTGAGCTGGTTTTCTGATAACGTACATGTTTGTGAATGTATGCTTGTTTGTACGTGTATTTACATGTATGTAGTAGCTTATAGTGCTATATTAGTATTTGATAATGATATAGGTTTAGTGTTTAAATGTAGTTGTAACCCAAGTTATGCTTTATGCATTTAAGTTGTCTAATATCGGTGAAGTAGTGTTGTGACCATTAATCTTAATTTACATGTAAAACACCCAATCTTCTGATACTATTATTGCTTATTATCATCAGCATTGTCAGTTTATTAGCCCACTCCAATTTCATCTGTTTCACAGGCGGAGAGGGCAGGTAGCCTCATTAAATTTTTTATCATTAAAATGTTTAATTGCCAATGCGGGTGGGAAAGGTGAATCTATGAATGTAATTGGAGTTGACTTTACATGTGCTTAACTGTACACATCCTTCTTTTACATTGCATGTGTATGCTATGTACCAAAATTAATGATAAATGCAACAAGTCATGCTATTAGGCTTGACTAAGCTCTTATTTAATAACATCACAATGTGGCTGACACAAATTCCATGCAGTCACTTTATATCTACTGTAATTATGAATGAGAGAAGAAGATGTACTAATGTCTATGACGGCTAATTGATACATACCTATGTCGCAATTGATTATGATTACTCGACCCTGACCCTTGCCTTTTACTTGTATAAAAACTTGTGCAGTTTTAATACATAGTTTTACTGATTGTTTCAATAGTAATAGATATGACTAACAATTCCTGTTAGTGAAACTTGTAGAATCCATTATTTTATAATTTGGTGAAATCTATCTCATCTTGCTTGAAATAAATTTTGCAGTTCATTCACACAATTACTTATGGCACTTCCTTTATGTCACAGTCACATGCAATTCACCACAACACTTCTCACTTTACGTAATACTTTTGTTTCCTCACTCTCTCTCATTACAGATGCAATGATAGCCATTACAGTTGATGGTACATTGAAGGTCTGGTTGATTTACATTATTATTGACATGAAGGATTTGACTGATCTGTTTGAAGAGAAGTCCAGGTTCTAGGTTTATCTAGTCCTCCCTCATTGACTTCAGAGTTATTTGCTGACTTCTCATTAGCTCTTGTTGTTCACAGAGACTCGTGGCAGGTAATGATGATATTTATTTTAAATTTATGTAGCTACATGTACATGTATGTTGTACAATGTCGATAGTTTGGAGTGGTTAATTTGGGCGAGTTGCTTTTTATGAATTAAGGTTTTGGAAATAAAAATTTTTTTAACGGCTGTTTGAAATTTTACCATGCCCACATCTCAGGTAAAAATTTTGGCTTATAGAGTAGTTAGTTGAAATTTTACTTGCCTAAATCATCTACTTGGTGGTATTTCTGTACATGTACATGCAGGATGTGTAGTTCTTCATTTTAACTTTTACTACATGTACTTTGCATGTACATTGATGTGTACATGTACATGCACATGTACGTACTACGTGCACGTACGTGGACACATTTTTTAATTTTCTGTTTTTACATGCACATTAGTTGTAATCTAATTATTAATTAATTTTCATTTGCAATTGTGACCATAATTGACAAAAGGTACCTCATGGTGGATTTTAAAATTCATCATTATAAAGAAAAGTGTCAACCTCTGAGTGCTCTGATAAGACAAGCAATGTTTGTAAAAGTTTCAGAGTAACTTTTCTTATCCTGTGGAGTAATTTTATGATAATTGGAACTTAGGAAGTTGGATGTTTGTCGCTACAAAGACAAATTTTACCGTCACCATAATGTACCTATTGTCAATTGTGGTCACACTTGATACATCTGTGTATGTGTACATGTACATGCAGATATATCATATGAAACAGTTGCAAATTCATCCTTGTGAGCTGGGAGTAACTCAAAGGAATGATCATTCCTCTCATTCAAAATGGTGTTACTATGATAATAATAATATGTTTGTTTTTTCCTTTTTCAGTAATTCTCTAAAGGCTGCTCCCTGTACATGTACCTTTAAGTACTTACATTTATAATCTAATTTTAAAAGTGCTTTTAAGCACAGCAAAAAGTGCATGTGAATAGTGTACATGTACTTGTAGTGGTTACACAGTCTAGTAAAATTGAAGTAACAGTAGTACACCAGTTTAGTAGGACATTGCATGACAGTGTGAGTGTGTGTTAGAAGTAATAGCATCACATGTGCAATGTACAATGAACAACTATAACTGTAATTTTACATTATTGTTACATTTAGTGAATATATAGTACTTATTAATGTACTCATTTATTAAATAGTACATGTAGCTTTTGCAATCATACATATGTAGTAAAGTCATGCATTAAATCTGTCTTTACTTATGTGAAGCACAAGAAATTTTTGAATAATAAATCATTTATACTTGTCAGTTTAAAGAATACCACTTTATTTCCTTGACTGATATCATTTAATTATTATATTGTTGAATTAACTAGCTCTGCAAGTTAGAAAGCAAATAACTGTCATTAAGTGTTAACTTGATTTTCTGATTAAAACTTCATTTTAATAAAACTAAAATCCTAAAAATTGTGGTATTATCTACGTTCATTTTCCTGCTAAATCAACAAGTTCTGCACAATAGCTGCAACTTCCAAATTTCCAGTTCCTAAATTGTTGATTTTCAACTTTCAAAAAGGAAAGTTCAGGTTGCAGTGCACAATATGCCATATCAAGAATTATAAGTTTTTGAGCTGGAGTTCGTAAAAGTTCTTGTGAAATTCTTCTTTAAAAAAAAAAGTTAATGTACAGATTGGCTTCACAACGCCAAAAAATAGAGTGGCAGAGTATTGGACCCATTGGTATAGTTAGAGGCGACTATCCACCAATTCCCCTTTTTTGAGAGCAACATTTAGTACAGTCTTGCCCTGTTGTTACAACTGTTGAGGGTACACTCCACTTGAATTACTAGCCATCCTTGTCTTAGGACATTTCAATCTACATGTATTTCATTAGTTTGCTGTTGCACGTCAATAGATCATGAATAAATAGTTAAAGTATCAGACAATAAATAATTTTAATCAGATTAGACTGCCTTATCATTGATTATATAAAATTAATGATTAGATTAAATATATATAAAATACAAAACAACTATGTAGAAAAATTAATGTATACAGCTCACTTTTTGCATGTCATGATCATTCATCAACGTTTATGTAAGGTTTATCTGGTTTTGTCAAGGTCTGCTGCCAGTTGCCACCTTCAATTAAATATGTGTCCACTAAATACTGAATCAGTTAAGGCCCAGTCACATGTCAGCATGGGAAAGGACAGTATACTCTCACCTTGAAAATTAATTATTAAATAAATGACTTGTTTTAAAAATACTGCTTGTTGTTCGTATACCAATAGTAAGATTCTTGATTTAATACTATGCGAAGCAAGAATATCCTTGACCTTTCCCAGTCTTTTGCTGATACTTGTACAAATAATTTTCATTTTCCAAGGAACCTTCAATTGTAATAAACATGAAGGAGACATTGGAGTGCTACAGAAGGAGAGCAAATAAAGATGCTTTCTTGGCAATACACAATTAAAGATAAATGGTCGGGGTATATACCTAAGTACAGCAAGTCTATTTGGGAAGATATATTAGACGGGAATAAAGCATTACTGTTTCATGGGAAGGGAGTAGAGGAAGAGCGTGAAGAGGCCATATGCAGTATTCATTGTTGAGAATGAAGTCGCCAATCAAATGATGTCTTACTACAACTTCAGTGTTGGCCTCTATACTGTCTTTGTACAATAGAATATAGAATTCGTAACAATTACGTCACATTCAACCACTCAATGTCTTTAAGGCAGTGTTTTCATGTGTCATATTCTTTGGGTGAGATGTTGAATTTCAAATTTTAAAATTTTGATCGTCAAAGCCTGCATGATTCAACGAAACATGCAAGCTTATTATTGTTACTTGATGAGCATGTCTTGTTTTGGCAACATGATTAGCAGAAATGAAAGAATCAGCTGTTCCAGCATTGGCAATATTTGCTTGTATGATTGCATTGATCCCATCCAGCCATTCTAGTACCTGCATAATAGATATCTAAATGCTGAAAATTGTAAACTCACCTTTAAAATCACCATCTCAATGTGCAATTAACCAAACACAATGATAAAACGATCCTCTTCATAACTACTGGATCAAGTTAATGGCGCGCCAAAGTGGACAAAAACAAAAAATTGATATACCTATAGGAAGGTGGTGTGGTGACGCGCATCGCCTCATTCATGCATTGATTTCGTGATCGATTATCCATTAGATTATCATTGTGATGTGCAATATGATTATGATATCGATGTCTACGTGTCATGACAACGCCTTGACACTTCCAAGTAATGGCAAGCAGTAGCAGCAGCAACGATATCTCTAGTGATGAGGTGGACAAAGCAAAAAAGCCATTGAGTTTTTATCCAGTCTGCAGGATAAATTACCAGGTCCATCTCAAGCAAATCAGAGCAGTTCCTCATTTACGAATCTTGAAAGTACAGCATGTCGTTTTATTATCTTTGTGTTTCTGTGTATAACACAGCTTCAGCTAGAGTACTCTCTACTTCATGTGTTTTATTTTGGTGTCAAATCTATGTGTATTGTAAAGTTCATTATAAAATGATAAAAATAATAATAACTATTATTTATTTTATGTACACATTTCTCTGCAGGCTAGAGCTAATACTGTCTTAAGCAATATAAATCGTGTGAGGTCTGGGCTGCAAGTTGGTAAAGGGAAAGGGAAGAAGAGATCGTGCGCCGAAAGAGAAGAAGTGGTAAAACTGTTCCCTCAGTTTAATTCGGCTTAAGATACAGATAAGAAGAAGCCTTGGACTCATGACTTTGTTTGCTTGGCCTATGATGACCAAACATCCATTCCAACAACTGCTTGGCAAAAAAGAGCTTACAAGTGCTGGTCTTGGGGAGCAGAAAATAGTCTGTCAAGATGTAGATTGTGATGCAGTAACGTTTAAGAAGGCTCTGTAAGATAAGTTTCGGAAGCTGGTAAATGGTGGCAGCTACCAGCTGTGCAAGAGTAAGGCAAATTAACGTAATTTGATGCCACTGTTTTTGTCAGTCCTCTCCACTCCAAGGGCCTTACAGAAGTGTGGCAATGCTCGGACATACATTCGCCAATTACAGAAAGACCTCGAGCTGACTCAAAAGCAACATATTGAAGTTAGCATATAGCAGAGATGTGATAATTGTAGTGTTTATTGTAATAGTTACAGAGTGATTACTTTAATTTCTTATCATTGTTATATTGTAATTATTGATGGTCTAGGTAAAAGAAAAATGTTTGATTTGTGGTATTGACCTGCCACTTGATGATTTGTTACATCATATTGAGATTTGTAGAAGTAAATCGTAAGTGCACAGGAGCATTAATCAACTTATGTTTGTTTGCTTTACTGGGAAGAATGATTTGGATGAGCTTGACGGGGAAGCGAGTATTAAGTGTCAAGAAGAAAGGTAATTATGCTCTTAATACTTATGTTTGAAAATATAGTCACAATGCTAGTAGTTTTATCTATTTTGCCTAAATTAAACTGCCATTTTGAACCACTGTGTGCATGCTAAGATTAATTTCAAGCACAATATGACAAGTTAGTTTTCCCTTTAAAATTACGCATTATTTTTTAGAACAAGAGCAATTATACACCTATCACCTTTTGAGGGTACACCTAAGGACAATCCCAGTTACAGTCCTAATTTTTAAGTGACAATCTTGATTACAGTCCTATTCCTCTATCTTAGATGTTTATGCCCATATTCCTCCACCTTACAGTCACAATTTTGAAAGGTAACACAGATTATGATTCATGTACGATTATTCCCATATAACCCCACTACTGAAACCAACTAACCTACATGTAATTGCTCTCTTTCTCTATTAATAGTCATGTTCCTGATGCGAGTAGTAGTCCAAATTAACCACCAGTGATGTTTTTAAAGTATGTTATAACTATGATGCAAAATTTTATTTGTATTTTATATAAAGCAATTCTGGACGTTCTAAAGAAAAGGCGGAAGTAACAGACCTCAAAAGCTGTATTAAAACAGTCCTTCATTAAAACATTGACTGCACCACATCTTTATTTGGAATTTCAGAGAGATTTTACCCATACTGATGCTCTGAAGCATTCTGCTAAACCTAAATTTGACCAAAAAAATCAGTGAAAAGTACACAAACAAGTTTTGCTAATTTAAAAATCTTTAATTTTAGGTAACTTTTGTTGGTGAAGCTGGAGAAGATATTGGGGGACTATGCAGAGAATTTTGGAGGTTATTTGTGTCATCAGCAGCTCAAGAATATTTTATAGAAGCTTCAAGCAAGACCATGTGCATAGGTTGAAGTTTATGAAAGACATGGAGAATGAATAGCCATGTCAGTGGTATGGGATGGTTTTGGCTTTCCAATGTTAGCACCTTCAATATATGAATACATGGTCACAGGAACATGTACATGTACTAATATTCCTGTACAAGACATACCTAAACCCGGAGTCAGCTCACTTGTTTTAACGGTAAAAATAATGAACTAGTACTTATTTTTAGCATATATATTTTGTACATTTGCTCTGCTGAAACAGTTGAGGAACCAAAGTCAATTTTTGATAATGATACTTATGCTAATGCTTTGTTTGAGACTGCATACAAAAAGCCAATTTCTGTGCTGACTCTTCACAACAAGGAAGAGCTTACTAATGTTGTTTCTACTTACCATACTTAGATCAAAGTGAAGACATAAATAGAGCAATTTGTGAAGGGTCTTGAAAGTCTTAATATTCACTCATACATGGTTAAATTTCCAACAATTATGAAGACATTTTTTGAGAAGGAGAATGAAAAGCTGATGGCATGTTAGTGAGATTTTTTGAATCAAACATTGTTTTATATTTTCTTATTTCTTCAGAATACAATAAAGGATTGATCAAAGTTAAGTTTTCAGACGAGGAATTTTCGCTTTGCCGAAACGAGGAAGCAACTTACATGCATTTTGTTGATTTTATAGCTGAATGTGAAAGTAAGGAGTTATATTACAGTATTAATTATTATTGTTACTTTACTTTATACAGAAGGATCAATTGATGTGTCTTTAGATGATGTATAAATATTTCTCACTGGCAGTGATAGAGCCTCCTCTTGGTTTTTCCAGCACACTGGAGGTAACATTCCTACGTAATGCAAGTCGCACTATGGCTTCAGCTTCAACCTGTTCTTTGGAACTCAAACTGCTTACCTGTCACAAGGAGTATTCTAGCTTTTGCTCTTCAATGAAATGGTCTTTCAAAGGACATGGTGGTTTTCATATAGTTTAGCAATGTCACATGGGATACTGGAATACTAACATTTAAGTTGGCACTTACTCTCATTTTTAACTTAACTCTCATTTATCATTTTTATTGATAATTAAGATTTTATTTTTTCTAAACAATCTTTTATCACACAATCATCTTATTATTATCCTAAGGGACTAAAAATTGCGTACTACAAAATTTATTTCTGTAGCTTAAATGCAGCAAATGACTTCGTCATCACTCACACTCTGCAATTGATCTTTTAAAGTACTAAAGGATTTTGAAGTTCGTCAATAAACTCTGGAACTGTAATAGTGTGGTCTCCATCAGTACAGACAGGACCCTCCCAATCAATGCCATAATCATTGTCAACTAGTAATTGATTATCTGCATTATCATTTGGATTAGATAGGAAATGATGTTGAAGTCACATGATACATTGCTGCATTGTGGTATGATTGTGGCTAGTCCTCATCTTGTGATGATTCCAGACATCTTTAAACAGGGTTAACTGTTGCTGAACATCTTCCATATGTACAAATATTAATGCAAAAATATCAGCTTCTTTAGACTTGTCAAGAAGACCGCTATCTTCAAGTGAATAAATAATAGAATGGTAGTAACTGGTGCATTCAGTGAATACATTCCTCCATAATCTCTCTATTCTCTGGTTATGAACACTATGTCCCGTTAACATACAGCCAGGTTCACGCAATGGGTGGTGAAGCATAAATTGAGCAACATGAGTGTTTTCTCAACCCATATCACTCCTCACCCTGCTTGGCAATCCAAATTTTTCAACAGACTGTTCAAAACATAGAAGGCCTGTGTCTGCCTTATTATTATTAGATACAACACGTAAATGTAATAATTATCATTCGACTGAATCCATCAATCAAACCATGAATCACAAAATGCCAATATTAGTTTGTGGTCGCTGTCATTGTGCCACAGAGCATTGGGGAAGACGGTAAACTAAAAACTCTCCTATGTAATGCTCTGGTTAATCTTCTCTGTGATCCCAAATGATCGACTCGGTGAAGTGCCCCTCTAATTCTTCTCCTTTGAATAATTTGGCCAGAATAACTAAATATTCCTTCAGTGATTCAGCAACCACTATCAGGTTGCATTCTTTGAATTGCAGCCACTTGCTCATCTGTTTCAGAATCCAAAAGAGTACTGTATCTCCTACTTCTAGTTACCCTAATCTCTGCCAAACGTCTCTGTACAGTACGAACAGAACACTGCCATATCAGATAAAATGAAATCATGCCTTGTAAGAAATTGTAACTGTGCGTTAGATATGTCTATTCTAGGATGCCCCGCGTCCTTATACGACACACTTGGATTATATGATCTCCAGCATAGCAACAAAGTCTCTTACAGATGAAACCATATTCTTCATGACTAGTACCTACCATATTACTTTCAAGTAGAATGAAGTTAGAAAGCACATCTTTACAGTTATTGAAGTACACTAACTTTACATTGAACGGTGCATTCGTGAAATGTTCCTCTACAAGCTCTTCCATTTCGTCAATTAGATTTTCTCTTGGGTTTTCTTGTTCATTGACAGCAATAGCCATTATGATCCAAAAAGCCACGCCTAGTAGGCTAGGCCTGCCTAACACTGCACCCTCTGATGTCATAAACTCCTGTTGTTCGACCAGAGATGGAAGTTGTAACCGATCAGTTGTAACTCTATTGGTTAACAGGACTTGAAGAGCAAATTACCTGCTTTAGAATTTTATTGACTATTGCTTTTGGTAACAACTCAGCTCTAACTCAGCTTCGCAAAACACCCAATCAATGGGACGGAGTTGAATTTTGACTCAGCAGCTAAAATTTATCTTTTTGATCAAAATTGACCAATTTTACTAAATAAAGCTTTGTACTATTATAAAACTAGCCTTTTTGACAAAAAACAGAAACCTTACTTATAATTTTTAACTGGTGAAAAAACCATGCTTTTACTGTTCTAATTACTTACATCCTTGGTATAAGTGTAAAAAATATAATGTAAGAAATTAATGAAAAAATTTTTTAGAATGAACAAGATAGAGCTTAAGGCACCCTTACCAAGCTTTAATGCCCACCCCGGCAGGGCAGGGCTGGTTATATTTAAGGCTAGCACTTAAGTTTTCTACATCAAAATTCCCCATTTTTGTCTTAAACCACTTTGTACAGCTCACAGGTAATGTTTAACCAAGAGTGAAAGTTCATTGCAAGCAGACATAAAAATTGGTCAATTCAACCTCGTTTTTGGCGTTCAAGGCCAGTAAAAGCAAAATCTACTGAGCTTAAAAGGCCAAAGGTAATACAAATGTTGTAATTTTCTGTGCAAGTAACTTAAATTTTGGCTCAAACAATACTTATTAGCTATACAGGGTTGTTTATGGTAAAATTGGCAAATTTTGATCTAGAAAACCTAAGTTTTATCCTGGAAGATAGAGTGGGCGCTAAGGGCTCAGGAAAGCTTTTGATTTTTTTATTTTCTTTAACCTAATTCAAGTTTTTTTTGCTTACCAACTTTTTGCACCTTTTCTTTGAGCTCATAAGCCCAAAGAAAATGGAAAAAGGCTAATAAAAAATAATGAACCAAAAGCCCTCACAAAACTTCAACGCCCACTCAGGCAGAGCATTGGTGGGTATTTTCAGTGCGCTAAACTCTTGGCTTCGACATCATAATTCAACAATTTCACCATAGACCACCTTGTACAGCTGACAGGTAATGTTTAAGTATAAATGAAAGTAAATTGCAAGTGGATATAAAATAATACTATGTTGCTCTAACTTTGGCCTTAAGTTTAGTTATGCTTTAATTGGCCTTGAAAGCTGAAAATGAAAACAAATTGATCAATTAGTTCTTAAGTCCACGAGCAATTAAGTGTCAATTTTGCTCTTAGTTGATCATGAGAAATTTAAAGGTACTGTTCAATATCTCCATCATTTTCACTTTTCAGTTAAAATTGTTTCAGAACACATTGCTTTGCATCACAGCTAGCTAAACATTTCATTTAACAGTCATGTGCTTTGGACATGTTATTCTTATTATTTTCTAATAATTTAAGGTGTAAGTGCCATTATGATTATATGTCACTATTTAAAAGACCATTGTAGCAATTTGGCTACCTAATAGTTACTAAAATGTTTCTACTTCATCAAAATTGTTTTAAAAAGTATCACATTATTAATAGCATCACAATCATAATGATTTAGGATAGTTTAATGGCCCTCCACAATCCTGTATCAGGCATCGAAACATCATTTTTATCTTAAAAGAGTCACCAACATTTGTATACTGACACCAGTCCCTTTCCTTTATTGGGACTCTCTGGGCCATTCCTGGAGGGCTACGATTTTATTCTCTTTTTACTTTATTTTTTCCCCTCCTATAACTTAATGATAACACAATATGAGAAACTATGAGCAGAAATTGTAATAATACACTCATTTCTCACTGGGAACGAAGCAGATCTTGGTTTCTATACTCCATTAACAACAGTCACGGAGCTAACACACTCAAGACTATCTCAGTTTGACTGTCTCAATGTTGTCGTGTAGTGCAATGGGATGAATAACCTCAACTTAAGTATTTCAGATCTACGTAACTAATGAGTTTCTTTTAGGGCTATTACTTGTACAATTACAATAGAAACTAACAGTAAAATCCTTTTAAACTGGATAAACTTGCTTAATAACTTCATCCATCTTGTCTCTAAAGCTGACACGCCTACATACTATAGGTGGGGGTGACATTATGTGATGACAAGAAGTCCTAGAAATCCATCACTGTAAATGCAAAATCTATCAAAAAATTGGTCACAAAATCAATGCATTAATGAGGCGATGCGCTTTGCCACACAACCTTTCTATAAGTATATCAATATATATGCATTTGTCCACTTTGGTACTCCATACAAGTCCACTGGATTTGCTTAGCAAGTGCAAATAATGATTCATCTGCTGTAATAATTGGAACCTGGCTGGGATTTA